AGCAGGAGAAGAGCTAACTTATCGCATCTGTGCAAATATAACACAAGATTGTGGATTTTAATGCTATTAAATTACAAGGGAACCGAAAAAAAAGTATGGGAAAAAATTCTAATAAACAAAAAACAAAAAAAAAATTAGCTGATATCATCAAAAACATCCAATAGCGTTTTAAAAAATTTACGGAAGTGAAATCAGTGAAATTTAAAACGATTTAATTAATTTGATTAAAAAACTTTCATAAAAACAATAGCGCAATTAATTACCTAATTAATAAAATGTCATAAAATGTTTTCGCGGCAAAAATAATACATGAAATTTTTAAAACATCATTCTGATTCACTCTGTATATTTGGTACAATTATTATTAGGTTTGTTTTTTCTCTCAGGAAACAATAAATCTTCGTAATTTTGCAACGTTAAAGTTAACTTCTAATAATCAAACAACTTCTGATAGGAGTGAAATGAAAACTGGTATAAAATTAACTGCAAAAAGATTACATTATATAAAATTTAATATAGGTTTAATTCTTATGCTTGAACAATATTTGTTGCATTTTTTTGTATATTTATTTTATCCTTATGTTATATTTTTATATTTTATATGTTTGAACAAATTATATAGAAATAATTAAAAAACCCGCATTTTATCAAATCCTGTGTAATTTACATTGTTAGAGAAAAAAACGATATGAAGTAACTGATCGTATATGAATAGTTTTTCATGCGCTATGCAATTTTTCTCCAATTTTAAAATAATTTTTTAGGCTTTTTAGACAGACACAACTAAATTAATATGGAGAAATGCAATAATAAAAAAGCCATATTAATATTCAAGTAAACCATACAGCAAAATTAAATCAAAACACAATTAATAAATGTTATGTTGTAACATAAGGTGTTGTGTTTGGATTTAATAAAAAGCCTTTTTAGTGTTAACTTGGTAAAAAAAATCGAAAAAGTATTTTTGACTTTTGGGTTCATACAACTTAAAATATTTCTTACAATCATAAAATGGCGATTTAAATATAGTAAACTGCAATAATAACTCGGACTTCACTTAACACGAAAAAATTTTTTCGAAAGCAGTTATTCAACATTTTTAGGAAAATTACAAAAATTTTAATTAATAAGATACTCTTCATTATACAGAGTGTGTTTTTATCTTGAGACAATAAAATATCTTACTTGGATCTCATTATTTTAAAAAAAGGTATGGACCAGGGGTGTCCAACCCATGGCCTGCTGACCGCATGCGGCCCAATAAACGTGCAAATAGAATCGACAAACTGTTTTATTTATTTTTATTTATTTATTTCGACGGCATAAACTCAAAAAACAAGTTTCACAAAGCTGTAAACTTTTATACATATTTCATGTTTGAGTGAAAAAAAAATATTTTTAAATACTTGGAGATGTGTGAATGACGAAGGAATAATAAATAATGCTGAAGTTGTGACTCAAAGGATTATAGACCCAAATTTCAGAAAAGGAGAGAAAGGCCAAAAGATAAATAGCAGTAAGAAAGGTTAAACAGACCTTCTCTTATGCAAATATTGACCTTTAATTTTCCAACCTTCTTACTACTTTTTTTCTTTTAACATTTCTCTCCTTTTCTCAAATTTGGGTCTACAATCCTTTGAGTTCCATCTCCAGCATTATTTAGTATTCTTTACAGCATTGCAAGATTTGGCTACTTTGCGCCAAATTTCGCTACCTTTTTTTAGTTTAGCATAAAAATTATCATTTGGCGCATTGGCTACTTTCTGGACTACATATTATTTATAAATATATTAGTCAAATAAAATGGTGTTCTGTCATTTTTTTATTAATTAGAGACCCAAATAAAACAAATTTTTGTGTTTTAGAAATAAAATTTTGTTTGTCTTTTTTATAATAAATAAATTCATCTATTCTAAGTATAATTGAAAGTAATTTTTTAAAATATCCTTTTTTGTGATAAAAATTTAATAGTTATTACTATAATCTAGATATGTTAAACCTGAAATATAATTGTATAGTTAAGGATTGAGTCACAAATATTACCTTGACCTTGACCTTCAATATGACGTGATCTTGACCTTGACCTTCAAGGTCATTTGTAGGTCGAGTCCATTTTTTAAATGGAAAAATATATTTTTTACCCCGGAAGTGAAAAGAGCAGGAAATTTTACATTCAGATATACCTTTGATCTTGAGGTCTAGGTCAAAAGTCAAGATTATTTTAAGGTTAAACTTAAAGGCTTATTCTAATAAAAACCATAAATTTTATTACTGGAATAGATGGGGAGGTAAAATTTACGTTTTTTTACAACCTTATTACTTTCATCTTTCAAAGTACTCACTACTTTTACCATTATCCAGGAGTAACAATGTAGACATAGTAGTTTTCTACACTCTTTATGGTGCTTATTTCCAGTTAATCTTCTTGCTTTTCACTATCGGGGTGCATGTTTACTTTTCACCATTGATTGAGATTTTGCTTTTGCGGAAAATTTTATGACAAATGTTCAAAATGATGCTTTTCACCTTCGATGCATTTGTTGAGCTGCGCTTAAAATTATCGAGCTTCAGATGATTTTTAGAGATCAAGTTCGGAATACTCAAGGTCATAGCTGATTGTGAAATTTTTTCGCTCTTTCCATGTAAATGTAAATTTTACCTCCTTGTCTATTCCAGTAATAAATGTATGGTTTTCATTAAAATAAGCCTTTAACTTTAACCTTAAATTAAGCTTGATTTTTTACCCAGACCTTAAGATCAAGGGTATATCTGAATGTAAAATTTTCTGCTCTATCCATTTCTGGGGTAAAAATATGTGTTCCCATTGAAAAAAAAAAAACAGTTTCGACTTCCAAATGACCTTGAAAGTCAGGGTCAAGATCACGTCTCAGGTAACCAATTTATTGCCCCTTCGACACCCTATAACTTTTTTCTATACCTTTTTCCAAATAATGAGATCCAATTAAGATATTTCATTCTCTCAAAAAATACACCCTGTATAAAAAGTAAAATTTTAAAGAATAAACATTAATACATATCAAACAGTACAGATTTTTAAATTTTATTTCCTGTAATTCAGCTGTATAATCTCAGCTGAGTAAACTTTTTTATAGGGTGTATTGTACTAAATTACTACATTTTATGTCATTCTTCTTGTTTTCCATGTCGATGATTAGAGAAATTGATAACTTGAAAATTCAGCAACTCAGAAAAATTCGTCTTGTATTTGTTGAGATTAATAGAATTTATTACATATAAAACTTTTTAACATATATTTGTTTTAATATAACGGTTTCACATTTTAATAATTTTTAACTATATTTAACACGTTACTTTCATAACACACTATGTAATATAACCAATAAAACAAATAAAATACACATTGTTTTATAAATGTGAAACAATAGGAAAGTTATGTTATGTTGTTTTTTTTATTTTTTTACATGGCGCTAGTAAGAAAGAAGATTTATGGTGGAGACCTGTTTGCAGTGTTAAGTTGCTAAAAATTTTAGCTAACTTCATCTATTCCCTTAACTAAAGTAAAACTGTTATATGCACTGACACTGTTAAACAGTTTTCGTTTTCGTTTACAAAATAAATTAAGTTCATTCCGACTCGTTCCCATCCTTTACTTAGAATAGAAGTAGAAAAGGCGAACATTGGTTCTATGGGACATATGGATCATCAGTTTATATTATTTGTCAATTAAACACAGTTGTAAGATTATTTATTTTATTTTCCACTTATAAAACGTATATCTTAACATTTCGAATCAAATACAGATGAATTGTGTCAGTGTAAATTTTTTTTATTAACTTCAGATTCCCTTATTACTAAATCGTCAAAAGGATTGACTGAATAGAAAACAATTTATTGTTTTAATTTGTTTTATTTTCTATTAACCGCTGTGACAGGTGTAGTAAATAAAAGCTTCATTTGCCAATAAAGAAATTAATTGACAGAGTGGAAACAGCTAGGTTTTTATATATTCAATTCTAGAAAAATGAATTTCATCAATTTTGCATAATAGTTTGAGAATTGCGACAAATATAGAAAAAGGGAATTGACGTTCCATATTAGATTATACTTAAATCATGTGTTTGTTTCATGTTATGTTGCCAAAAGCATAAACGTTTCAGAACTATTTTTATAAAAGATTGCAGCAGAATTTTATAGGATATCATTTATTTTATACATTGTATTTAACATTTTATGTCTTTTAGATTTCACAGTCATGTGTAAAGTCAGCGGCGGCCTTATCCATTGCGAGGCTCTGGGCGGCAGAACTTTGCGAGGCCCTTGTCCTTTGTGCAAAGTATGTGAATTGAAATAGTAGGCACTTATTAATATTAATATATACTGTACTATAAATTAAATTTATTTTATTGTTATAACTAATAGCCAAGGATAAAATAAAAAGTTTTAAATCTATCAACTTTTTTCTACTTGGTTGTTGCGCGAGGCCCCTCCAAGAGCGAGGCCCCGGGCGATTGCCCTGCTCGCCACCCCCTAAGGCCGCCACTGCGTAAAGTTATATAAACTCTAATAATTTGAAAAAAAGTCATATATAAATTGAAGATTGAAATTTTTTGCCCCCATCCACTTATGATATTCAATGTGCCTTCAACACATTCCTAAAGATATATTTTCTATCCAGTGTCATAATATTAAATGCATTAATACGAAATTTTTTCTTTGGCTGAACATCATGAAATTTCATGGCATTTGTTCAATTGGTCTCAAATTTCCTTACTCAACAAGTTGTTCATGGAACATACTTAACAACTATTTCTGTTGAAACTAAAACATTATTAAAAATACACTTTACTAAAACAAAAACTTGTTTTACTGTTTCAAATGCTAAGAGCAATAGTTATTTTACTGTTTCATGTAACATGGATTTGAGTATAAATAGCAATATATATATATATATAATTTGATGCATATTGATATAGTAAATAAGTTTTTATTTATTAGCAATTTATATTTTTATATTTTAGGGATTTACTCTGGTTGCTGGTATGTGTGTTCTTCAAGCAATCTTCCGTCCTTATGTACTCATATTGTGTTGTGTCATAGCAATAATTTTCTGCGTTTTATGGAAGATCTATACCCGAGTGCTAAAAAGCATAAAAGAAATGGAAGGGAAAAGTAAGTACATAGAAAGTGAAAAGAAAGCCTATTATATTTAGCTTATTATCAAAGAGAATGTTTTAGCAATTCATTACTTCAACATTTATGAATAAATTATACACATAGAATTAATTTAATTTTAGAAATAAAGCATATATTAATAAAAGAAATTAAACAAAAACAATTAGTTTTTAAGGAGATGTATGAAAATCATTTCTCACTTATTACACTTTGTATATGATATATATGGTATATGTATTTAGAACAAACAGATAGAATAACAACTAATAGTGACGAAAAAGTTACGCATTCGATACTTATCACTTACAGATGTACAGTACAATATGAAAATCATTAGCAATGAACCCTCGTCTAATAAATTAAGTATAGATCTTAAGTCATTCTAGGATGCCGAGTTCAAAATCAAATAATTCAAAGTATTGATTTTATTTATATGGCTAGAAATAGTTGAAAATCATGCTTACAATGATTCTATGTATCTATAATTATGACAATACTTTCTTTCTTGATAATCAATAAAGAAACGTTTTTACTTATGACAATACTTTCTTTCTTGATAATCAATAAAGCAAAAGTAGTATGTTTCTTATTGACAAAATTCTGCTAGATCAGACAATGTATAATTTAAATAACATGTCAAAGCAGATTACCTTATAACTACATTAGACAATAACTTTGAAGAATTACTATCAATTTGATTGTAACAAAATATAAATGCATAAAACAAACTTCAGTGAAACAATTAATACAAGTTAATAAATTATACTTAAAAATAACAAGCTATGATGATATATAAACTTGGTTAAATATAACTGTGTGATTCAACCTGTAGTTTTTCAAATTCTTTTTGTTTTTGATCTGACTAAATTTTTATAAGATTTCTTTTATTAAATTATTCTTTTTGCATAATGAATATAATGTTGTGTTTCAGGTTTATGTTACATGAAATTGTGATCAGTAGCTTCAAAATATACGTAAATTAATAAATATACTTAGATTTGAAGCAAGCATGCATAAATTATATATATAAGATTTTATAAATTAAATATTCTAATTTATATTAATTAAGTGGAACGAACATTTTAAGAATTAATATGTATTAGTTTTAAAATCTTCCCATGTTGCTTTTATATTTTTTATATTAGGATTAGTTTGCAGGTACTTTCATAAATATAATAGATAAATAGATGTTATATTCAATAACGATTTTTTAAAATAACTGAATTATATGTAGAAATTTTTTTTTGACAGGGAGAAGTCCAGTATTTTCTCATCTCAGTATATCCCTTTATGGACTAACAACGATCAGAGCATTTAAAGCTGAAAGTAAATTTATATCTACATTTAATGAGTATCAGGATAAGCACACTGCAACGTGGTTCATCTATTTGACTTTGTATCGATTTCTTTATGTATATGGTCACATGATTTGTTTTATAAATGTAATTATTACTGTGATTATTTTCAGTGTTTCAGTTAATTCAGGTGAGTAAATATATTTAATTGTGTATACGTTATAATATAGGTAATTTTGTTTCATAATTGCAATTTTAGATGATGCAGGAGGCCAAATCGGAATTGTTATGAATTATGGAGTATTAATGATTTTGTATTTTCCAGCCCTTATTAGAAGTTCATCTGACATGCAATTTCAGGTATGTTTTCTCAAATCGGATAAATAAGCCAAATGTGAAAACACTTAGTTGTTTGCAATGTTTAATTGAATAGTTTTTCGCTTACGTGGCATTTTATCGATGCCAACAAACTAAATTATTATTCTGAAATCATGTTGCATTGCATAAGAAACTACTGTTGAATCTGCAATTTCTTTATTTTTTCTACTAGCTAACAATACAAAATACATTTGGATATATAAAACGACAGCTTTGATGTTTATTTTAATCTAATTTAATCCAAAAACACAAAAAAACACCATCAAATTTGAACTCGCTAAAGTTATCTCAAATTTCACAGATTTATAAAAAGAAATTTTCTGAGATAGAGGTGGCTTTCGTTCAGTGGTATTATTTTAGTTTTTCGGAAGTATGTTTTCTATAACATTTCAAATGTAGTATAAAATG